TTTTTCTTTTCTTTTTTTTTTCTTTTTGTGACAGGGTCTCCCTGTAGCCCCAGCTGGCCTGGAACTCGCTATGTAGACTAGGCTGGCCTCCACCTCATAGGAATCCACCCATCTCTGCGTCCTGAGTGCTGGGATTAATGGTGTACGCCGCCACATCTGTGTTTTCTTGGTTTTTACAATGTGGCAATTTGGGAAATCCAGTTCTTTTTCCCTTGCCAGCACTCCCTATTCTGATTGCTGTAGTTATTTGTTTAGTGAGTTAAAAAAATTACAATGAAAGTAGTATTGAAAGTGCAAGACTTATGCACAGTTCCAGCTGCTCCCTGGATTGTGAACTTTGGCTCCCTCTCCCCTTTGATCCCAGGCATACAGAACGACCTCGGCACTTACATTGTGCTTAGAGGCTCAAGAGACCTATCGAACGGTTACTGGGCTCTAGTTTTATGGATATTTCCAATGTGTTTATATATTCTTTTATTTTCCATGGTTGCATAGCCTCGGTTTCTTCAATAGTTCATGTATGTTCCCCTTCCTGAGAATTATATTCATTTCTATTAATTATGGTTTGAATGTGAAGTGTCTTCCATAGGGTCATGTGTTTGAACATTTGGTCCCCAGCTGGTGGTCCCATTTTGGAAGACTGTGGAACATTTAGGCCTACCTGGAGTAAGTGGGTTGCTGGAGAGAGGGAGGCACCGAGGATTACAGCCTCACCTTGCTTCCTGCTTGAGCTCTATTTCTTTCTTTCTTTCTTTCTTTCTTTCTTTCTTTCTTTCTTTCTCTTCTTTTTTTTTCTTTTTTGGTCTTTTAGAGGCAGGGTCTCCCTGTAGCCCCAGCTGTCCTGGAACTCACTATGTAGACCATGCTGGCCTTGAACTCACAAAGATCTGCCTGCCTCTGCCTCCCAAGTGCTTGGATTAAAGGCGAGCTCTATTTCTTATCTGCAGCGATGTAATGAGATGCAATGGGAACTCCTGTTGTATATGATGGACTGATAGTCCCTTAAACTGAGTCACAATAAATCCTTCCCCCTTAAATTGCTTCTATCAGGTATTCTATTATAGGGATGAGAAAACTAACATAAAGTTGGTAATGAGAAGTGGGGCCACTGCTGTGATAACCTTGACCATGTGGTTCTTAGGCCTTTGGAATTAGTTTGCAGGAGGAAGGTGAGAAAGTTTGGAACTATAGGCTAGAGATGCTCTAGAAGCTGTATGCAGAACTTAACTGGCTATTCTAGTGGGAGCTGACAAGACCAGTATCTCAATAGAAACACAGACAATGAACACCTGGCTCACGGGAGTTCAGAGGATAGCAAGGACTATAATGGGACTTGAGCTAGAAGCCATTCATGTTATCTTGGCAAAGAATCTGGCTATATTCTGCCCATTTCCTGAAAATGTGAGTGAAGTCGAGTTCAAAAGAATGTAGCAATTTGTTTGCTGGAGTAATTTCAACCAAGCATAGCACTCAGTCTGCATAATGGTTACTGCTTACTGCTTTTAGTAAAGTTTATAGTGAGAGCAGGAAGTCAAGGAGAACTACATCAAAGATATGAGTTTGGCAAGGAAAGCAGCTTGAATGTGTTTAAGGTTGCTGGAAATATGAGTATGGACCTAAGAGAGCAACATCATTAAAGAGAAATCTTGCAGTAGGACAAGAGGAGAGCTCCTTTGATGGTAAGACACCAGCTACGGAAGGCCCTATGATATGAAAACACAAATTCATCCAAAGGACTTTGAGTTAAAAAAAGAGTGGCTGATAAAATAAAGCCTCCTGGGTTCCCTGCTGGAAAATGGCTTCCCTAGTTCAGCTGCCCAGGCACTCAGGAACCACTGCAGTCGTTGTCCAAGGACAGCACGTTACATCTTGAGCTGAGAGCTGACATAGTATCATCTAGGTGGTGCTGACACTGAAGGCATGTAAACTGCAAGTGATAGGGTCATGGAGGTTTTCACCAAGGTTCCAGATAAAAGCTGTTGGGGTCAGGCAGTGTGTAGCAGGTAAGGGTCCATGCATGGAGCTCCTGAGTAGGCTGAGTATGAAGGTGTCTTCCTAAGTTACAATGGAAACCACAGGATGATGGATTGTCTACCAAGGAAAGCTGCAGGCCCTCAGTAAGGCTACCTGTGTGGCAGGAAACAAGCGGTAGGAGTTACCATTGGAACTCAGAGGATGTTACCATGAATCCTGAATGCAGGAAAAGGAGCTACAGGATCAGGTATTTCCCTTGATGAGTTTTAGTCTTGCTTTGGTCTTATCTTTTCTTTTCTTTTGTTTCATTGAGACAGGGTCTCCCTGTAGCCCCAGCTGGCCTGGAACTTACTAGGTAGACCAGGCTGGCCTTGAAATCACAGAGATCCTCCTGCCTCTGCCTCCTGAGTGCTGGGATAAAGATGTATGGCACCATGTCTCGCTCTATTACTTTTAGTTTACTTTTTTGGTTATGAATCATGTATTATACATATTCATGTCTTTTAAAATTTGTGACTTTCATTTTATAACTGAGGATATGGTCTTTTTGTGACTGTTTTGTATACGGCTGAAACATATATGTTCTGTTATTAATACTCCTTAAATGGAGTATTCTATAAATGTGTATTAGATAAAGATGGCTGGTAGTACAGTTGAGTCTTCTATATCCTTATTGGTTAAAAAATCAATTACTGGGCCAGTGAGATGGCTCAGCAGGTAAGGGCTCTTGCTGCCAACTCTGAGGACCTGATTTCAACCCCCAGGACCCACATGGTGTATGGAGAGAACTGACTCCTGCTCTGGCCTCCACATGCAGAACACTGCGTGTGCTCCCCCCCCCCACAGAGTTTTATATATACATACACACACACACATATATATATAAAGTTATGTGCAAATACATTTAGAAGTAGCCTGTTTTCTTTTTAAAAAATTATTATTATTATTATTATCTTTTGGTTTTTTTGAGACAGGGTCTCCCTGTAGCCCCAGTTGTCCTAGAACTCACTATGTAGACCAGGCTGGCCTTGAACTCACAGAGATCTGCCTGCCTCTGCCTCCCAAGTGCTGGGATTAAAGTCGTGCATCACCATGCTCGGCTATTTTTATTTTATGTGTATTTTATTTTATACGTGTATTGCACACATGTGTGTGAGTGAGGCATTGAACCCCCTGGAACTGTTGTACAGACAGTTGTTACCTGCCGTGTGTGTGCTGGGAATTGGATTTGTGTCCTCTGCAAGAGCAGTCAGTGCTCTTAACTGCTGAGCCATCTCCCAAGCCTCTAGCCTGTCTTCTTAATGAATGGAACTCATTATTAGAAATACTTGTCCTTCTTTTTTCCTGGTATGTTTTTCTTTGGTTGGAGATGTAGCTCAGAATAGCCCACACTTAGCAAGCACAAGGCTCTGGCTTCCAGCACTAGTTATGTCAAAAATAATAAACAATCATCCAAAGGAAGCACACTAGGAACAACAAAATCATTCACTGTGAGCTTTTTCAGTGGTGTTTTCAAGGCATATCTTTTTCTATAATTTATTTTAAACTATTTGCTTTTGGTGAATCAAACAAACTTGGAGATAATGGTAGAGAAACTTGCTAAAAATGATTCCCAAGCATCTGGCTAATATAATTAAACAGAGAGCAAAATTAGCCAGGGAACTAGAGATAGGGGTATGAGGGAAAAAAGTTCAGATTTTGATCTGTTTTCAGTGTTACCTGGATCTTTAGGTAAAGATGTGGGTAAAATCCCAGAAGAGAGAGTTGAATGGAGATACAGATTCGTGAATGAAATGGAATAACTGACAGAGCCTCAAAGGCAAAATTAACAGAACATAAAAGGTTCCTAGAAAAGAGACAGCAGCAAGAGAGACTGAAAAGGAGTCATCCAAGTGTAAACGGAAAAAAACCCAATACAGGTAATGTTAACTCATATACTTATAGCAAAGTTATGAGAACGCAGCATTGGTCAGAAACTTTCAAAGCTGAAATCCTTAAGTATGTTGGGGGATGCTAGAAACTTTTATTTGGAGCTTTTCCAGAGTATCAGTAGTACTGAAGCCAGACTGAAGGGGAGATGGGGATAGATGGGTGATGATGTAATCTTTCTAGAATCAGCCATAGTTTCCTTTTATTAGAAAGCTTTAGGAGATTCTCCATTGTGAACCACGTGTGTTCTATAGCACTCCATGCTATACACCCACCATGGCATTTATCACACAATATTTTAACTATTTCTTTAGTTTTCTTGCTAGATGGTACATGAGAGAGAGATCATTTTTTTTTTTTTAAACTTCAGTGCCTAGCATGATGTCTAGCATAAGGTAGGTGGTGAATTCAGGGGTAATAAATACCTGACAGGCAATTTAAAGAATATTGGCTCAGGAGAAGAGGCCTGTAGTTAGAAACAGATTAAACACACAGTGGAAATATTAATGTTTCTAGGTCTGCCAAAGAGGGTGGGACTCAGCACCCAAGTAGTGCAATTTCCTTTTAAAATCAGCAAGACTCTCAGGCTGGAATGGAAGAGATGATGAAGGGATTAGTACTAAGGACACTCATCCCTTTTCTACTTTTTCCAGTGTTTTTCTTGGGGTGGTTAGAGGGTAGGGTGAGAACGACAAAGCCTTGTGTGATGGCCCATCTTGACACACCTGGGAAGAGGGAATCTCAATAGAGGATTGCGTCCATCAGCTTGGCCTATGGACATGCCGTTGGCGAATTTTTATTGTTGACTGATAAGGGCCAGGTTTGCAGTGGGCTGTGAGCAGGTGGGCCTGGGTTGTATGTAAGAAAAGTGCAAGCCAGGAGAAGCAAGCAGTAAGCGGAGTTCCTCCGTGATCTTTGCTTCAGTTCCTGCCTTGGCCCTCAATGATGAACTGTAACCTGGAAGCTAAATAAACCCTTTCCAACTCAAGTTGGTTTTAGTCATGCTGTTTCTCACAGCAACGGAAAGCAAACTAGGACACCTTGCAATGATTCTGGGGAATGAGCAAGAACTCTGGTGAGGGATGACAATCATTTGAAACTGGAGACCATCTTTGAGTGACTTTGGCAGCACATCGTCTTTCTCGCTCCAGTCAGCTGCAGGGTCCAGATCTTGGAATCCGGAGATCGTTTTTCAAAGTTGTCTTTTTTCAGACATAGTCTTGCTACCTACCCCAGCCTGGCCCGGAACTCGTGATCAGGTGCTCATGCAGGTCTCTGAACTCGCTGCAGTCCTCCTGCGTGTAGGAACTACGGGTGTGCACCTGTGTAGAGGGCTGGGGCTCGCGGTGCAGCTGTGCTACGGGGAGAGGATGCAGGTGGGGGGACTCGTCTGATAAAGGGTCTCTCTGCGGGGATGCGGCTGAGGACAGGGAAAAGGAGCGATGGGGGTGGTGGACATGAGACTGGGCGGGGTGTCCCCCGTCCAGGCTCCACAGCAGCCCGAACACTCTGGGAGACAAAGCTACAGGGAGTCGCGGTGGGGCCTGCGGTCTCCAGCCCCAGGACCTGCGCGCACGCCACAGTCGGAATCCAAGATGGCGCCTCTCCCAGAACCCCGCCAGCCTGACCCGGAAGCGCGCGTGGCGACCCGGAAGTAGCCGCGCGAGTCGGCGCCGAGAAGCCACCGCCCCCTGGTAGCTTGCTTCAGTCCAGCCTGTGGTCCGCGGTGGCTCTGACAGCCCCGATGGTCCCGTGCTGGCTGCGGCAGGGTCGGAGGGAGGATGACCTCTCCTCGGGGTCACAGTGCCGACCTGGCCCGCTTCTACACTGTCACCGAGCCCCAGCGACACCCCAGGGGCTACACGATCTATAAGGTCACCGCCCGGGTGAGTGCAGCGTGGATAGGGACACCCGGGGTGGGGTCCCGGCTCCGGAGTGCGACTGCGTGAGGCGATGGTAGGACACGCGTGGAGATGAGGACTCCAGACAGGAGACAGAAACCCCAGGATGGAGATGGTGGGGACCCAGACAGGAGACAGGAGCCCCAGGATGAAGATGGTGGGGACCCAGACAGGAGACAGGAGCCCCAGGATGAAGATGGTGGGGACCCAGACAGGAGACAGGAGCCCCAGGATGAAGATGGTGGGGACCCAGACAGGAGACAGGAGCCCCAGGATGAAGATGGTGGGGACCCAGACAGGAGACAGGAGCCCCAGGATGAAGATGGTGGGGACCCAGACAGGAGACAGGAGCCCCAGGATGAAGATGGTGGGGACCCAGACAGGAGACAGGAGCCCCAGGATGAAGATGGTGGGGACCCAGACAGGAGACAGGAGCCCCAGGATGAAGATGGTGGGGACCCAGACAGGAGACAGGAGCCCCAGGATGAAGATGGTGGGGACCCAGACAGGAGACAGGAGCCCCAGGATGAAGATGGTGGGGACCCAGACAGGAGACAGGAGCCCCAGGATGAAGATGGTGGGGACCCAGACAGGAGACAGGAGCCCCAGGATGAAGATGGTGGGGACCCAGACAGGAGACAGGAGCCCCAGGATGAAGATGGTGGGGACCCAGACAGGAGACAGGAGCCCCAGGATGAAGATGGTGGGGACCCAGACAGGAGACAGGAGCCCCAGGATGAAGATGGTGGGGACCCAGACAGGAGACAGGAGCCCCAGGATGAAGATGGTGGGGACCCAGACAGGAGACAGGAGCCCCAGGATGAAGATGGTGGGGACCCAGACAGGAGACAGGAGCCCCAGGATGAAGATGGTGGGGACCCAGACAGGAGACAGGAGCCCCAGGATGAAGATGGTGGGGACCCAGACAGGAGACAGGAGCCCCAGGATGAAGATGGTGGGGACCCAGACAGGAGACAGGAGCCCCAGGATGAAGATGGTGGGGACCCAGACAGGAGACAGGAGCCCCAGGATGAAGATGGTGGGGACCCAGACAGGAGACAGGAGCCCCAGGATGAAGATGGTGGGGACCCAGACAGGAGACAGGAGCCCCAGGATGAAGATGGTGGGGACCCAGACAGGAGACAGGAGCCCCAGGATGAAGATGGTGGGGACCCAGACAGGAGACAGGAGCCCCAGGATGGAGATGGTGGGGACCCAGACAGGAGACAGGAGCCCCAGGATGAAGATGGTGGGGACCCAGACAGGAGACAGGAGCCCCAGGATGGAGATGGTGGGGACCCAGACAGGAGACAGGAGCCCCAGGATGGAGATGGTGGGGACCCAGACAGGAGACAGGAGCCCCAGGATGAAGATGGTGGGGACCCAGACAGGAGACAGGGACCCCAGGATGGAGATGGTGGGGACCCAGACAGGAGGCAGGGACCCCAGGATGGAGATGGTGGGGACCCAGACAGGAGGCAGGAACCCCAGGATGGAGATGGTAGAGACCCAGACAGGAGACAGGGGCTCTAGGCAGGAGGTAGAGACTCCAGAATGGAGATGATTGGGACCCTAGGTGAGAGACTAGGACTTCAAGTGGGAGACAAGGACTCCAGCAGGAGATGATGGGGGACCTCAGACAGGAGACAGGGACTCCAGGCAGGAGCTGGAGTCTCCAGAATGGAGACAGGGACCCCAGGTGGGAGATGGGGACCTCAGGCAGGCGATGATGGAGAATCCCGGCAGGAGTGGGGGGCCCCACGCAGGTTACAGGGATCCCAGGTGGGCAACTGGAACTCGAAGCAGGATGCCAGACTCTGCCAGTCAAGCTGCCACTCCAGCTTGGTTCTGGGGTGTAGCCCTGGTAGATGGCTTTAAACGATGACTCAACTTCTGTCCCATTTGGACTTTCTCTTAGAATGAAATTTGCAGAATTGGTTTTGTTTGTTCCAGAGGGAAAAATGCACACTTGAAAATGTTAACAGATGTATTGTCTGGCTTATGTAACAGAAGAGGTGTCTTCTCTTAACTTTTCATTCTGAGACGGCTTTGCCCTGGGGCTGGTAGACTACTGGGAAAGGTCTCACTGTTTGGCCACAGACCCTTGACCTGTAGTTGGGCAGTGTCTTTGCTTCTGAGATCTTGGCTCTTTCAGTAGCAAACAGATGAGGAAATGTACTTAAGTGATCTTATGCGAGTTGCCTTGAGGGCAGATTTAAAAGTTGTGAGACTGTGCTAGTGAGATGGCTTAATGGGTCTAGACACGTGCTGTCAAGCCTGATAACCTGAGTTTGATTCTGGGGACACACATGGTGGAAGGAGAGAACTGACTCCCACAAGTTGTCCTCTGACCTCCACGGCACATCCCCCCAAACAATAGATAAATAAATATTAAAAATAAAAGTTGCGAGATTGCTTTTTATCAGTTAACCGATCCATATTTTAGTACTGTTTTGCTTGTATTTCGTTGCTCATACTGAGTTTCGAAGAGTCTTCAGCTGCCCTCTAGGAAAGTGAGACTAATACATGAAATTAGTGTTTCTGTATGCAACACTTGTGTGTATACTCGGCATTTTGTTCCCATCATCCAATTTAATCTTTATTTTCATGATGAGGAAACAGATTCAAGGAAGTTTAGTAATTTGTCCAAGTTTCCATTTCAAAGCAGTAGCAGGTCTGGGCTTTCGAACCAGTTTTGCTTGGCTCTCAGGTATATAAAGCATTACAAATTATTTTTTCTTCTTAAATTTTGAAGACGAGGAAGAGCTGTATGGTTTAAGGAGTAGTAGTCTAATATCCATTTGGAAAGTGCTCAGGAAGCAGCCCTCGAGAAGAACCCAGGAGAATTGATTCTGATAAGCAGAGCTTGGGGCATGCAAATGGCTGGTGGCCTTGGAAATGGTGCACAGGTAGACAAATGTGAGGTGGTGGGCTGAGCAAGGCCATTTAAAGATAGCAAGGAGACCCAGTCTGGAGTGAAGATTGCTTGATTAAGAATAGAAGTTTGCCATTCCCTGATAAGGTTGTTATAGAGGTAGGGTGTTAGTTTCAGTTTTTCTCAGAAATTTTATGAGATGAAGGGACTTTTACTATACCGTTCTTGAACCCTTTTTAAATATTTTATTATTTTTATTTTATGTGTATGAGTGTATTGCCTGCATGTGTGTAAGAGCACCTGGGTTGTGAAACGCCCGAGGAGGACAGAAGAGGAGGGTGTCAGATCCCCTGAACTGGAGTTATGGAAGGTTGTTAGCAGCTATGTGGGTACTGGGAGTCAAACCCAGGTCCTCTGCAAGAGCAGCCAGTGCTCTTAACCTGAGCATCTCTCTAGCTCCTTGAACCCTTTTAGTTATTGAGACCTTAAAAAATTCTAGCCTTAAGTTTCCTAATATGCAGCTTATAGAATCAGAAATAGGTTCCACAGGTAGGATGTTCCTGTCATACCACTGTACTTAGATCCCTTATTATAACAGGAAAATTATATTGTGTGTTTACATGTCTGTGTTTCTTTTTTTAATATTTTATGTGTATGAGTGTATTGCTTGCATGCGTGTAAGTGCACCTGTGTTCTGCAATGCCGTGGAGGTCAGAAGAGGGTTTTGGATTCCCCTGGAATTGGAGTTAGGACCATTCATAGCTGCCATGTGGGTGCTGGGGATTGAACCCAGGTCCTCTGCAAGAGCAGTCAGTGCTCTTAACCACTGAGCCATCTCCAGCCCCCATGTCTGTGTTTCTTAGTAGACTTAGCCTGTAGTCTTGGTAGTTGTTTCCTCATTGCAACTAGAGCAGTGTTTGGGCAGTGTCCCCAAATCTCTGGGTGAATGTTCTCCTCTTTGTGCTAGGCAGTGTAACCAGTGATGTAGTTCTGGCCACTATGCTCTGGGAGGGTTACAAGGCTGAAAAGAATGTGGGGCTTCCACCTGGTAGAACAGAGTTCATTGTGCTTAAATAAATACAGTAGGTTAGGAAAGTGCCACAAACACTATGGAAAAGAGCTGTGGGAATTGAGAAGACAGGGGAGATGGCTGTGACTCAGGGGGTCAAGGAGTATGTATCAGATAAGGCAGGTGGTGAAAGACAGACAGAATCCAGAAAAGGAGAGGATTGTGGAGGTGGAGGAAAGGAGACCATAAAGGCTGGAGGTGTGTGGAGCTTGAGTTGGAACCACCAAGTATCATAATTGTTTGTATTATTACTTTACAGAAAGAAAGGTTAGTCAAATGCAGATTTTAAGTTGTTCACTGAATTAATTTTTATAACTGCAAATTAGGTGGAGTAGCCTTAGAATTAACCACATGCTTATGATGCGCAGCTTGACAAGTGCTTACATTGACGTCTCCCTATAAATGTCCTCATTATTGCTTATGCTACAGATTTTGTCTTTTATAATGGTAGTGTTTTTTGTGGTTGTTGATGTCAGAGCTGAGGATCAAACCTAGGGCCTTACAGCAAGTGAGGCCAAGCCGTATGAGCTATGTCCACAACCCATGGTGTTTTTTTTTTTTTTTGACATTTATAGTATGTGTGTGTGTGTGTGTGTGTGTGTGTGTGTGTACGTGTCTGAGTGCATGCCACTGTGCAAATGTGGAAGTTAGAGGACAACTTGTGGGAATCGGTTCTCTCCCTCTATCATGTGGACTCTGGGTATTGAACCTAACCAAGTTTGGTGGCAAGCACCTACCTTTACCCACTGAGCCATCTTACCAGCTCCCAGCCTGAGTTTTATATTTTATTTTCTAAATTAAGGCTCAAAATAGAGGTATATTTTAAAAACACCTGTGTAGCCAGGCGTGGTGGTGCATGCCTGTAGTCCCAGCACTTGGGAGGCAGAGGCAGGCGGATCTCTATGAGTTCAAGGCCAGCCTGGTCTACATAGTGAGTTCCAGGACAGCTCGGGCTACAGAGAGACCCTGTCTCAAAAAGGACCCAAAACAATAAAAAACAACCAAACCAGAACAAAAACCAACTGTGCCTAATTATAAAGG